GCATGGAATTAGTTCACAGTGGCGGCAATTAATTAAATTTCATGCTACATAAATTTCCTTCTAATGTGAGCCATGTCGGTCTTAAGGTAATCTTGCAACTAACTTTCTCTGAGGTAGAAAGAATTCCTTTGAAGCTTTATTGCGGCAGCACTGCTGTCGCAATTTCTATGATAATGTGAAAGTTCACGAGTGCCAAAGTTTGAAAGATTCTGAGTTCTAAAAGGTCGACGATTCACACACAGACATACACGTACATTCATTACACATACACACATATTTAACCACTTTAATTTACTGCGCATCAAATATTCATGATCATATCGCGATAGAACCGTCTTCGTGATGAAAATTCCTTTCTTTTTCTCGCAGCGGAAACGCTACGTGAAACTTACATAACGCGTGTGTATGCGCTTGTGTATGTGCGTGCATATGTATGTGCACGCGTGTGCCAGGATCCAGTGATTTTAAAGTTACATGCACAGATGTGTGACAAGCTTCGCCAACGATAAGCTTCAGCAGTAAGCACACAACGAGCCTATATAGTAGTTACCTATTTTCATGTAATCTACTTGCATCCCCGAGGCTCAATTCGTACATTCAATTGCTCACGAGAACCGGTGGTGGACTATTAGTTTGCCATGCGAAAGCCTGTTCTGCCTCGTTGAAATGGCTAACGTAGGTGAAAGAAAAACGTGCTGAGACCCGAGACACTCCCGGTTACCAACACATTACAATTGTACCGCCTCGTACATTACGCCGTAACTCCATTGTTGCTCTTGGCAGTCGACGGATAAATGATCTGTACACGGTTTGGCGGGCATGTGGATGTACTTCGTGTGCGCGGAGGGAGGGAGGGAGAGGGAGCAAGTATGCACATCGGGTGTGCGAAATGGCGAGTGATAAACGATTTATTATGACGTCGCGGCAACCCCAAAGCCATCGGGACGACTCGAAATAAAACGCTAGTTGTCTTTAAGCGCGCGCGCGCGCGCGTGCGTGCGAATTACGTCACTCGCCGAACGCGGTCGATATGGCTATAAACTGTTTAAAAAACCAGACAACGCTTAGAGTTTAACCGCGAATGGAGCTGTGCAATCGGAAAACCCGCTCCCACTTAGATTTTGTTACGGTTAATCGTAATAATTTAACGGCCGTCGTGCGACGCGTGACCTTTCGCTGATTACGAGTTGCCGTGTGCGTGTTTTAGGGCACGTCGCGTAGATCATGCCTGCTCTGTCCCTCGAGACATTGTTTCGTTCTACAATAGGATTAAGTGTTGTGATATCTACTCTGACATCGAACGGAAAGATAATATCAAGAAGGACACGATGTAATCTTCTGATGATCTAAGCATATAATCTTTTATCAAATTCGTGGGCTGAATCGTTTGACGAGTCAGCGAAATTTGTTTAAAATCATTATATCCGGATATAATATGTAGTGTGTCTTGGATATTTTATTTATTAGACGATTATTATATTGGATTAAATCTGTGTGTCATTGTCATCGAATTTTATCTTCTTTGCATTTGTATCAGACATTTGAGCAACATTGATGAACCAGTCGGACATGTAACGAATGGCAACAAATAGTGGTTTGTTTTTAATTATATAAATGCAAAACGAATGTCGTTTGCCTTTCATTATCCTATGGAAACCGGTGTGTCGCGTGAAGTTAATTAATTTTGAAGTGCTAATTGTGAAGTGAAACTAAATTGAGATACTGCAGTCTCTTTAAAAACAGGCAATTTCGTTTTGCTGTGTCATCGGTTCTTTAGAGGTCGTGAGTAATGAAAATTACTTGTTTACTTTATATTATAGCGTAATTGTCGGATTACGCAGCTAATGATAAGAGTGATCGTTACCTCCTGAAGCGAAAGCGACGCGCCCGCCATTTGCAACACGCACACGTGAACCCTCCATTTGCGACGTAAGCTTAACGACTTAAAGAGCTTAAAGAGAGAGTTCTACCGACATATCCAATGATCCCAGCCGTTGTTGTATAATGGTGCGCGATAGGATTGAGCCAAGTAGACAACGATATCTTCGGCGACGAGTTGGAGCGCGCGGGACGAGAAAATCGATATGTGAGACTGCATGTGAACGATCGTATATATTTTTTTCCCGCGAGTCTCTATCGATCTCGACCAACTCAATTTTCATTTTCCATTTCAAATATTTTTTTTCCCCATGACCACTCGCTGATTCAAACATCCTGTCTGTTATCCTGATATTTTTGTTCTTTGAAGATTGATACACGAAACAAAAATACCAACAGATTGTTTATTTGATTTTGAAAATGATGGTCTGTTTTCTGAAAACCGATATATAAAAATAAAATGTCATCTATGAAATGAAAATTCACCCATTACACACTACTGAAAATGTCCGCACGCACACTATCAAAATATCTCATACAGTATTAAATATCGAATAGATCTTTTCTTTCGTTTCTTTTTTTTTACAAAGTTGGAGGACAGTTTATTTCCACCTGAAAAAGTGCTATGACGAAACGGAATAGGGGTAGTCGTGATGTACGACAGAACGAAATCGATACGTGAGACACGGCTCGAAACGTGCCATCACGTAAAGATCTTCAGTACACATCGTTAACGATGAAAACGCGATCGCGTGTTGTCACGACGGTCGTTTGCGCGAATATAGCTTGGATAGCGGCTGGAGATACGAAGTGTTCTCCACACCGTTCGGTTTTACAAAACTCTTAAATATCGAAGTTCCGCGGAGCAGGCGTGTCAGACACTCCAAGTTCCGGAGCACCGAAACTCCCAAGTTTCGCCCGTCCAAAAACACCGAGTTTGAAATATGCGTTTCGATCGCCCGTGACTCAGGGACTATCGGCATTTCGATGTTTTACCCGAAGAAAGTCTCAAGAAGATCGAGGATGGCGTGAGGGGGGAACCAATCATTAATAATAATAAGCAGCGACGCGCACACGCGGAGGTGGGCGCGATAAAGCGCAAGAAATTATTGTGAGGCTCGACGCGGCGAGAATCACACAGCTGTAAATTAGTTAAGACGGCTGAGAACAAGGAGAAACAGCAGTTCTGTGCCAGATCTCCACGTGTCTCTCTGTCTTTCAGTGCACTCTCCTCACGCCTCCCGCTTTCGTCCACTTGAGCATCCGGCGGTCCTTTCGCGCCACTGAGGGATGAAAAAAGCCCCGCGGTTGCAGCACAGCCACGATAAAAATAAATCGACGCAACCAAGTATCGTGGGAATTTCGCTGGTCGTAAATTTCACGGGGTGCGCCTCCTCCCCATGGAGGGGTCGCATCGGCGTCTCGGTTTTATCCCTGTGAAATTTGCCTGCGATTTTTCCCCCGCGAGCGCTTTACGCGCCGCTTAATTAGCGACTTGCTCTCAAGATTGATCAAGAAAGTTATTTGACGGCAGAGCTAGAGGGGAGCGTTACAGTTAAGATATACGACTCGTCGGAAAAAATAGCACCAACCGCGTTGTCATTTTACGGCACGACGGCACCGACCGGAGTTTTCACTGTCATTCGCGTCGCAGATCGAAGGTTCGCGTGCACGAGTTGCAAATGGAAGACACATATGCGTGTTGCGTCGCCTTCGCTTCGGAAGGTAGCTTCGGACTGTCTTGTCGTTTACAACGGAGATAATACCATAATATGCGGAGTAAACGAAAGATCCTTGTCGCTCGTGATCTTCAAAGGTGATTAACGGCACGAGAATAATAGCTGTTGCCCCTGAAGAAATTCATCGTCCAACTCCTCGGTCTCTAATTTAATTTATACGCGACTTGCTCTTGCGAAAAATCGTGAAATTCCCGCGCTGTGTGTATATGTGTGTACGTGTGTGTGAGAGAGGACCGTCGAGAACACGACGCTGAGACGGAAATGTGCACACAGAAAAATATTATTCCACTGCTAAGAAAAACGATTACTCAGTTCACTTTCTGTCTCTTAAGTTTTTAATTTTCAACAAAGCACGATTTCTCGACAATAATCTGAAAAATATAATTTGATATTTGAGGCATGAAAATATAATTGTCACAAATTTTAAAAACAGCTTATTCTCATGTATTCCAAAGGAGAGAATCAGTCCTCTTTATAAAAATGCTATGAACTGTATCGATGAACAATTTAGTTCGACTCCGTGCAAACCGAATCTTTGTTTTACTTTAACATTTTCGATTAAAATGTTAGTATTTACAATGTATTTCGAGCAAATCTCCTATGATGAACATTCTTTTGTGATAGGATTTGCGGAGATATAAACTTATGAAATACTTGAAACGAAAGTAATCGAATGCAGTATGCATTTTTCTGTGTGCACGGTTCTATGTGCATCATCATCATTGTATCAAGGCTCCTCGCATGATAACGAAACTCGATAAAAGTCTATGCGCGCGATAATAGAAGAACGGATAATAGAATTCTTAATGAGCAACGGAAAAACCGCAACAATTCTTTCCTTTCCTGCAATTATGACCGTAGGTAGGGATGTACGACTTAAAACAACGCGAATGCACGGTGAATTGTTTACAAACGACTACGGTAATCGTCCAGTGTACGATCTACTCCATTGAGTTCAAATGTAAGCACAGAGCATCTTTTACCGTCAACTTTCTTCTTATCTACGAATTTTTCGGTTGACTGAACATTTCCCTCGTTGAACAATTTATCTAGTTCCCGCGAATAGATTCTTTGACTGACGATTTTTCTTAAATCCCGATAAATTTTAGGTAAAATAACTAAGATGAAAGTATGAAATATATCTGTATATTATGGACAAATACATAATTGATTTTACTGCTCATTCTCTTGATACTGGCGCATAATTAGCCAAGACAATTTTATTTGAAACATTGCGACTTAACAATCTTCTACTACAGTATCTTTGAAAGTTGCAGAAACATAAGATCAACTATTTCTATCCTTGTTACTCTCATAGTCGAAGACGTCGAAAATAATTTTCAGTTGGAAACGTTTAATACATACGATCTCTTCTATTTCCAGCCAACAACTCTACCGCAAGAAGTCATAATCGAAAGGGACCATAAATGAAAGGAATGAGGACGGATCGTTAATTTCGTGGCGAGACTCGCTCTATGTCGTGATAACTCGTGTTCGAGAGATGCGGAGAGTGGAAAGATGATATCGATAAGTGGAATGAATAGACTTTTTATACGCCTGTTTCTTCTCTCCCCTTTGTGAAAGAAAAGGAAGAATGATATCGTCAGAATGAATGGTACGTATTTCCTCGTTTTTTTTAAAGGATACAGGAATCGTTTATAAAAATAGAGACACCGCAGGGAGTGCCCACGTATTAAAAGAAGAGGAAATGCGACAACGTGCGGTCATATTCTCGACGCGAGAATTGAGTTTTCGCGTAACCGTTTGTCTCAGAGAAACGATATTAATTCGTATAAATATATAAATTCTTTAAAAAGCTAAAAATAAAAGCCGTCAGCAAAAAAGAGAAACAAGACTGTTTATATCTTTCTCTCCCACTTATATATACACTTGTTCCGTATTTTTATATGTTTCTTAGTCTGAAGTGATCTCAGACGAGCCGTAAATGAAACGATATTCAGAGAATTTGTGACGCGCGGTACAAATGGTTTATGCATAGTGTCAGGTACGATGACCTCAGACATAACGTAATATAGCGTTGGATAACGTTGTCTCTATGTCGCTATATTTAACTTTGAGGGGTCGTCGAACGCGTCCCGACAATTCTTTCCCTGATTCGTCAATCCGTTCGTTTATCCGGTAGCCACGAGAATTATGCAACGCCAATTTCACGCGGTTACCCGACGAAGGGTTATCGATCCGCGCCGAAAGAACTCCGGACGAGACTACCTATGCAGCTAGCGATAAGAGACAAAAATTACATAAACATGTATGATATTATCGATCTTGAATTTTGTCTTGAAATTTTTCATTTGTTACGATTCTCAGCGATAGCTCTCAACCTCAAACTTCCAAATCCAAATGTTTTAAATGTAAAAAACTTGTAGATCAAAGAAGATATTTTCGAGAGAGAAAGAGAAAGGAAGAGAGAATTGTATATTTGTGCGCGCCTGTACGTGTGCGGTGTCCATATTTGGACTCAAAATAAGATAAAGTGCACGTTTCAGAAGAAATCGATAGATGCATTCAGCGTGGGGCCGGGCAAGCTCCGCGATAGCATCACCGAAGTAAGTGTTGTGGGTAATCGACCTCGAAATCATTACCAACGCGTTCCCCAGTTAGATACCTACGACCGCGCGTTTATTTTTCCTCGTCGGAAGATTACACGACTCGGGCTCTCGGCGCTCACATAATCGATTCTCTCGGCAGTCATCGATCCTATTAATCATCCGGCCTCCGGCGCTGAATTTCCCTCACGAAAAGTCATTAAAAAACGTAACTGTGAAATGTCGATAAAAATTACATATGACACAATTATTACAGTCCGAAACGTCGGAAACGCGATGAGGATTTAAATTTGCAAGAGCAACACCGGCTCCCACACTTTTTCTGACGCCACCACGACTGAAATCCCGTGCATTCTCTAGTAATGTCGAGCAAGGAAATTTGTGAGAGGCCAGCCTCGCGGAAATATAAAAATGCTCGACTAAAATAGATCAAACCATTACTCCGAGATAGATGCCTCATCGAAGCATTCGAGCGTTTTCTATGTTCTAAAGAAGACGAAAGAAGAAAAGGCTTTTACTTTTGCCGTGTCGCGCGTTCAACGTGACAAATAACCAAGTAATATTTACGATTGCAGTTAACATCAAATATGACGCTAAGCGGCAGGTAAAAATACGGTATCCTTTTCACGTGTAATTGAAAGAAAGAAACTACGGGATCGAAGTTGGGCGAGAAAACGAGACAGATACAATCTAACGCGAATGTCCACCTGTCCGAAGTCACGTGTCCACTTAAAAGTTTCGTAGTCTCGAGAGCAATTCTCGATGAGCGAAACTCTACAGTGAAGACAGAAATCCAACTGATTCTCTCAATTGTGACTGCTGGAGAATTTTATAACTCCTGGGATACACTTGCGGTGATGCAATTATCAAGTGCATACTGTTAATTTAATTCCGAAGTTGCAGTTGAAACGACTGCAACTTCGATGACGATAGCGAAGTTGCCTATAGGTAATTTTATTCTCAATTACCTATAGAAGATGGAAATGTCTCTTCTCTTATATCGCCGATATAAGAAGGAAGGAAGAGTAGAAAAGATAGGTCACGTATAAACGGTTCAAAGGAATAACAAATCGTGTGAGTAACAATTGGCGTTACTTGTCGCGTTAGCGATTTGGGGAATGACATCGACATCAATTTCGATTGTCAATTTTTCTAACGAAGTGAAAGAAAGTACAGAAGAAAGTCTCAAGCTAGAGGAAGCCGTACGCATAAACGATGCAAAGGGTAACAGACGTCAACAAGCTGAGACATTAAATTGTTAAAATCGTGCAGCCTATTGACGAGATTTTTAAAATGTCTCCGAGATAAGATGTGATTCCCCCGCCATTGCGGCTGCATCTCACAACAGTCCGCAAGTACCCGGGAACTTCGTAAACAGCCCCTTTCGTCTTTCGACGAGTGCGGCGAGAACGGGGGTGGCAGGCGGGGGGAGGGGGGGGGTGAAAGTCGCGTGGCAGCGCGATCGGCGTTCGTTGAACCCTCTTACCTTAGCGTCTCCCCGCGCCGGGGCGACGGCAGCACGCAGCCAGCACGTTCATCCCTGCGCCGCGTTGCATCGCCGCCCTTTCTTCTACCCTCGTCGTTGCGACGCGCGCGACCCTTCACCCGCGCGCGTGATCACCTCGCGATCGAATTTAAAGTGCACACAGAACACGAGACGACGAGCCGCGCGGTAACATAACTCGCGCGAAAGCACCACTCTCCTCCACTCCCGCGGCCGGACGCACCGCGCGCGACGTGGCCGGCCACCCCCGTGGATGCCGGCGGCTTGCGAAAAAAAACTGGAACGGGGGCGGGAGGAGAGAGAGAGAGGCTGAAAGACAGACAGAAAAAGAGACAGAGAAAGAGAAAAAGAGAGAGAGAAAGGGGGAGAGAAAAAACAGAGCAGCGCGCGTGGTTGTCGGACGAGCCGGCGGCCGACGAGACACACCACGACGGACTGGAAACGAGGGTTGAAACGTGGTTGCCTTCGCTACGCCCTCGTGTGCCGTCGGCCGGCCTCGGTATGCTCCGTCGAAGCGCTCCAAGTCGAGCGGGATGCGACCTCAGGGCCGTCGCACCCGTCTATGGCGCCATTGGGGTCACGTGTGGCGTGGCGCGGCGCGATGCAGCGTAGCGAAGGGGGTTGATGGCGAG